TGCTTGTGCCTCAGTACCTCTTATTTTAAGAACAAACTCTCAAGAGTGACCCCTTTATCTTCTGGTGTAAAATTGCAGGATGGTGCTAGAAAGCAGCCCAGAAGCAGTGAGTTCCCAGTCCCTAGATCTCCGGCGAGCTTGCCCCAAGAGCAGCCGCATCTACCCTTCTCCAGGGGACAGTATCCTGTTGACCAAGGAGCCAGTGAAGTACGGGGAGCTGATCGTGCTGGGGTAAGTCGAGAGGCAGTGGGGGGGGGCCTCATTGGAGGGCAGGGCCAAATTTGGGCCATGTACCCAGGGCCGGCTCACTCACTAGGCGATCGCCTAGAGCGGGCCGGCCCTTAGGGGCGCCAAACTGCACCCAGCCCCGTACTCTGAGAGTTTCTTGATTATTTGTGTTTTTCATTCTTCCTAAAATGCATTTATTTTTGAAAAATGGCAGGCGCAGGGGGGGCGCCAGAAGGGATCCTTGCCTAGGGTGCAAAATAAGCTGGGGCCGGCCCTGCATGTACCCCCTTTAGCCCCAGCATGCTTGGGCTTAGGAACAGGAAGAATGAGATGAGGAAGCTTAACACTGATTGCTTACTACTGGGTAACCAGTGTTAGCCCATTCTATCCCTGCCGCATCCACCCACCCACCTACCCTCCCAACCCACCCAGTTCAGGCTTAGTGGGAAAGTAGCATTGCTAGGTCCCCCCTGGCTACTGGCAAGGGATGGGGGGGGCTAGGGATGCCAGCTCCAGGTTGGGAAACTCCTGGAGATTTGGGGGTGGAGCCTGGGAAGGACAGGGACCTCAGTAGGGTACAATGTCACAGGGTCCCCCCTCCAAAGCCTCCATTTTCTCCAGAGGAATTGACCTCTGTAGTCTGGAGATGAGCTGTAATGTCAGGGGATCCACAGGTCATACCTGGAGGCTGGCATCCCTGGTGGGAAAGACGTTCAGATCAGAAAATGCATCTGCTAGGGATGAGCCCAGTGCCTCTCTTTTTAGAATTCATGTAGGGATTCAAAACCTCTGACATGCACAAGTAGCAACACACTAAGCCAAATGTTGCTTAAGCATGGTGGCCCCCCCTAGGCTTGAGATACCTGCTTGCTCGTTTAGAAGGCAAAAACAGTGGGATTGTCAAGCACCAGAAAGACCACAATATGTAGCCAGTGGGCAGTGGTGGACCACTAGTTGTGCAGATCCAACCTAGTTTAGAGGGAAGTGGTGTTGACTGGCATCTCTCCGTGTTGCAGAGGTTCCATAAGACTGGGTTTAGGCAGTTCAGGAAAATCATGAATTGCAAACAAATTGGAATCATTGGGGTAATACTTTATTAAAGTTGCCTGGGAAATCTGTCTACAGTGTTCAAGAAAAAGTAAACAACAGTGGCACCTTAAACTAAAGTCTAATTTTTTTTCCCAGCGAAAACTTTCATGAGTCAGAGTTTATTCCATCAGATGTGCAAGTATCCATGGATCTGATGAAGTCAGCTCTGACTCACAAAAACTGTATGCTGGAATAAATTTTGTTAGTCATTAATGTGCTACTGGATTGCTGTTTTATTTTTCCGGAAAATATGAACTTGGCTACACATCTGGAACAAACGCTTCATTATTTTGAACTCTGGGTTTGAATTTTGAACTTTTTCCGTAGTTTGAAGTCAAAGTGCATTTCCATACTGCAGGCCATAAAAACACAGGAAAGGAGAAAATATAATGCATAAAGAGGAATGATCAAATAGTTCAGGAAAAAAACTATAAAACATGAGTGAACGTAAGAAATAATTCAGATCATGATAGCAATCTATCATATCAGTCTCTAAAAATGCCTGGCAAAATTAAACCACAGCAGCCACTGGAGTAGCAAACCACTGTGGTTTGTTTAAACCAGGGGTCTCCAACCTCTTTGAGCCTGTGGGCACCTTCGGAATTCTGGCACAGGGTGGTGGGTGCAACCACAAGCTACAAAAACAAAGGAAGCTGAGGGGCAAGGGAAGAGGGGGCTGACTGAAAAAATAGACTGGGAAAGAGCAATGAGAGAGATCAAAACCAACACTGTGGTGGCAGCCAGAGTTAAAAATAATGTTATTTTAATCTGCCCAGACAATGAGCTCTCCAGTAGCCAATCAGAAGCCCTGGGCCCAACCTGGCTCCACCCACTTTCTAAAATCACTTGGTGGGCACCAGGAAGGATGTCAGTGGCCGCCTTGGCACCCACGGGCACCATGTTGGGGAACCCTGTTTAAACGGTGGTCTGTGCAACAAACAGTACAATCCTAAAGCCAGTTCAACATCTGGACTAAGCATTTTGTTGTTGGTTTAAATCGGCATGGCCTTTTAATGATGTCTGCATTAAAGATGAGCATACAGACAAGCACACTGGTCCCTGAGTAACCCTGCCTAGCCTGAGTTCATCAGATCTCACAAGCTAAGGAGGGTCAGCCATAGTTAATACTTGGATGGGAGACCCCCAAGGATAGTTCAGGGTTGCTGTGCAGAGGAAGTAAATGGCAAAGCACTTGTGCTCATCTTTTGCCTTGAACATGCCCCATGGATGGGGTTGCCATGAGCTGGTTGTGACTTGATGGCACACAATTATTTTTATTATGTTGGTGCCTTCCGATACAGGTACAATGGCTCCTTGCCCAATGGTGACAAGGGCCGACGCCGCAGCCGACTGGCCCTGTTCAAGAGGCCCAAGGCTAATGGGGTGAAACCCGATGTCATCCACCACATCTCCACGCCGCTTGTGTCCAAGGTGAGCTCCCCTGCCCAAGAAAAATCTCAAAACCGCTTCCTGGCCACCAGAAGGTTTCCTCCCCCAATCATTAAACCAAGCCAAGGCTTTTCAGGATCCATGTTTTAATGCCAGACTTATAATGAAATGTTTTTATTTGTTTACGTTATTTATAGTCCGCCTTTCTCACAGGGGCCCATGGTGGATTACACAGAATGAGTCAAAATGATCAAGGAAGTGGAACATTCCATAAACAGTGCATTAGGATTGTAGAAGTCTGGAACCAACCAGAAATCTAAAAGATAGAACTGAAGCATAAGTATTAATGTGATACATTAAGCAGCGCAAAAGTTACATAATATGGTCCTACTTACATTAAATTATACACAGCAGTATAGACAACAGTCCCTAATTGTTTATACAAATAAGTTTGTGAACCATTTTGTGTAGTGCAACCCTATTACCCTGAATAACTGATGCAGTAAGTAAAGAAGTGCTGAGCATGTGCAAACTGCATTTGCCTTCCGGAAGAAACAACAAACAATCCCTGTAAATCTGAGATATGAGGGTTGTTGCTTCCAGGCAGATTCAGGTCTCTGCCTTAGTCTCAAGAGATGGTGGTCACTTTGGGCCACTGTAGGTGAAATAGTGTGGCTGCACCTGCTGGGCCCATAACCTGTTGGGGTAACTGGTATGGTTAGTCCAGTACCTGTTAGTTAGCAGAGTGCTTTAACTAAAGCTACAAATGGAGGAGCATCTTTTCACCAAGTTACCCACCTTACAAAGCTTCACAGAGCCATGTTGCAAGTTTAAGTCTAATACTAGTCACTTTATTCTAGAACTACAATTTATATAGGAAAGCTTAGAGATAGGATAATATTCTAGTCTAGTTTGCTAAGGATGGACACAGATGGTGAGAGGCCATCTGTGTCATGGTGCCAAGATGTGGACAGCATGTCCCCCCTCTTGGCCCATGCAGGGAGAAGGGAAGAGAGTTCTGGGAGAGGATGAATGAAAGGAAGGAAGTTTCCCAGCAAATAAAATCTGAATATCAAAGGGGACAGTGGCAAAAGAGTAAATGGAGGAAGGAAGCTTAGGGTTTGCCCTCTCTAGCTTTCTAACTCTGTTGCCACGTACTCTGGAGGCTGAGGCATGGGACAGTGTCCAGTCCTTTACTTTCAACATCTGGGGAATGGGAGACAGCCTTCTGTCCCTTGAGCAAGTGCGGAATCCATTGCATGTAAGATTGGCAAGGGGATGGGTGATGCGTTCTGCTCTGGAGGGGAGCTTCAGGCAGTTCCTATGGCTATTTCCCTCTCCCCAACAGGCACTAAGTAACAAAGGCCAGCACAGCATCTCCTACACACTTTCCCGAAGCCACTCAGTGATTGTGGAGTACACGCACGACAGTGAAACCGACATGTTTCAGGTACCGACTGCAGCCATGGCAGTAATAGGATTGCCCCCTTGTTTTCTGGCAGGGCTCCCATGCCTTAGACTGCTGTACAACATGGGACAGAAATTCCGTGGTAAATGAAGAACAAACTTCACCCGGGGATTTTCCATACCCAAAATTGAAGAGGGGAGAAGGGGAGAGATAGGGTTGCCAACCTGTGGGTGGTGGCTAGAGATCTCCTGGGATTATAAATGATCTCCAGACTACAGAGATCAGCTCACCTGGAGAAAATGGCCACTTTGCAAGGTGGACTCTATGATATTATACTGCATTGAAGTCCCTCCCCTCCCCAAACCCCGCCCTCCTCAGGCTGTACCCCCCAAAAATCTTCAAGTATTTTCCATCCCAGAAGACCTGGCAATCCAAGGGAAGAGCAACGACTAGTAAATGATACTGTGTGTAAGGGAGGGGGAAACCGATGCAGTTAAGAAGCCAAACTGCAGGAAAAATTTCCTCGGATTTTGCTGTTAAAGCACAAGAGCCTTGTCAGAAAAAAGGGACACTCCTAGGCATGAGTAGCCTAAGCCAGCAAGCCAAGGGGCATCCTTCTTCCTCCCAAATGTTTCAGCTGTTATTTTTGTCTTTTGTCCTTATTTTAAGTTCATTTTTTAAAAATAACATATTTGCGTACTGGTTTTAATGGCTTTTAAGATGAGGTTTTAATGTGTATGTTTTACTTTGTCAGCCATCTTGGTGGCCCTATAAGGGCAGAAAGGTGGGGTAAAAACAGAGTTGCCAGCTCTAGGTTGGGAAATGCCAGGAGATTTGGGGGGTGGATCCTGGAGAGGGTGGGGTTTGGGGAGGGGAGGGGAGTACAAAGCAGCCATTTTATCTAGGGGAACTGATGTCTTTCATCTGAGGATCAGTTGTATATATGTCAAAGGGCTCCGTAAAACAAAACAAAAAAAAACCCCAAGGAAATCAGTCTTATTTCATCCTGTCTATTACGTTACAACTTTCCATCCTCTCTCACACATGTTTCTACTTGCTAGAAGTCAAATAAATCAGTTGTAAAAGCAGATTTCCAGGCCCCACCTGGAGATTGGCAACTGTTGGAAAAATCTTGTTAATAAATGAGATAAATAAAACATTTGCAACCTTTGTAGGTGTAGAGAAAATCCAGGTTTCTGAGTGGTGCTCTCTTATTAAAGGCAAACAGCAGTTTGAGGGCTTTTGACAGGGTTGTAATGGTAGTTTCTAAGGAATGCCTAAATTCAGGATGGTTTAACAGAATGTAAATCTCAGGGATCTGGGAAATGTAGTTCTGTACAGGATTGCCGACGTGCCTGGAGAAAAATGTCTTGTCCCTTTAATAGAAGCTTGATTGGATGATATTTACCATGTATGTTCCAATGAGTTTAGCTGGATCTAATTTTAATAATCTCAGTATAATTTAAAAGATAAAATTATCAATTTGTGGATTAAATAGTTTTATTAACATGTCCACATATTCTTAAAAATATGGCCGTTTTTTCATACATATATGACAATTATTTCAGTGGGGCTTATTGCCAAATAAAATTGTTGTACCTGGTCTGTGACATTTAAGTTTGCCAACAGGCCTGGAGAAAAGTCTCATGTCCCTTTTAATAGAGGCATAATGGGATGTTATTTACCAGGTGATGTTATTTACCTCCATGCCATGAAAAGCTCTGGACACCTTGTGGCGGAACCAGCCTGGTCCAACCTGCAGGCTCTATTCCACCCGGCCCTCCTAAGTTTCTCACCACACTTGGAGGGGCTTTTCCCCCCACTATCGGGTAGCCCACTGCCACCACCTGACCTTTGTATGGAATTGCCCACTGGAAGAGTCAGGACTCCCAGCTCCCTCTCCAAGTTCTTAGGCCTTGCCTCTGTGTCTCCTGCACCATGGGGACAGTTTACTGCCTTGTGCACCCTTGGAGGAATGGCCACATGCCAACTGCCTGCCTTCCCCCTGACACTCCCTTTTAAAATAGTATTTGCGACAGTGGAGATCTATGTGGTACAGAGAACCACTCCCAGCATTCAAAATGATAAAATATTCATTAAAAAGAAAATGTTTACAAGCATACTTTTAGGACAGTGCCAAATTGAGCAAGGGATACCAAAGGAAATGGGAAAAATGCAAACCCTCTGTCCTTTTCTATATTCACGCCCTATCAGATATTAAAATAAGACATCTGCCCTTTTGCTTAGGATGTTACAGAATAGAGTCTTCTTTACGGTGAAGCTTGCTCCAACTCTTGAGATGAGCACATGGTCAATGGCTGCCTTGCCAGAGGAGAGTTCTGTGTGTGCTCCTGGAGAGCTCAAGGAATCTTTTTCCTGAGGAGTTTCTAGCAATCTATTCCCCCAAAACTCTGTTCCCTGCTTGAAGGGGGGAGAAAGGGGGAGCTTGGCCATCCCATTTGTCTCAAGCTAGATCTATTAGCATTTGTATGAAGGTGAGCTGAGGTGAGCCTGAAAAGCCATTGACGGACTTCCTCCTTCCCTGACCCAAGAACAAAAATAATACACCCAATTTTTGCAATGCATATCCCTTCAAAACACACCAGTTTTTTGTTTTGACTTCACTTTATTTTCCACCACTGTTTTCTCTCAACCCCACTGGCCGTGCCCCTCCCTCACACAGTGTGGGACCCCTGGGAAATTGTTCAGACTGCCCCATAGGTAAGATTGCCTTGCCTGTTTCCACACAATCAAGGGGCAGGAAATTTTTTCTCCAGGACTGTTGGCACCCCAGCATTAAATTGGAGCCTGCTGCCTAATTCACTGCCACTGCCATAGCACCTCCAGCATGGCAGTAAAGGCATTAGGAGGAGCCAAGTTAAGAGTTTTTCTACTTCTTCCAGTAGTTTGCCAGACTTTCTGAAATATGAGATGCACTCCCTGCCTTGACTCTCACTACATGAGAGTACTTGAGGTGATGTAGACCACCTAGAACAGCTACAAGATAGCTATGTTTCTGGAGCGAGCTCCTTCACACAGCCTTCTTCGTGGAACCGGCGGCCATTTTTCTTCACAGAACTCCTTTTGCTTTATGTTTTATAATAAAAATTTCACCCAGAACGAAGAGTGCTTAACTAAACAGCTTTAAAGGAAGCTTTCTATAGGAAGCAGTAGTTTATTGAGATGTCAAAGGAATACATACAGAGCTCAGATTGTTGCAATAAAATGACATGTTGATATGGCAAGGTAGTCTGGGGGCCTTCCAGAGTCCTCTATGCCAGATAACTTTTGCTGAGAGCAAAATTCATTGTCTGGTTGCCATTGCAAATACGAAACAAGTGAATGATGGATTCCGAAAGGAGGCAAAGAGATCCAGATTAAATTAGCAATTCCCACCAAATCCCCCTTCTTTTGCTGCAGATCCCTTTCAGGGTCTCCTGCCTCCCCTGAGAAAGAGCATTTCATTGAGGTCAGTGGGTCGCAGTCAGTGGGGGGAGGCACAAAAGTCCCATTCCAAAGTTGGAAATTTTCAGTTTGGATCCACCCTGTTTATTAACTTATATCCTTCTCCCCCATCACCTATGTTATTCCCAGATTGGTCGTTCCACAGAAAGTATGATTGATTTTGTGGTGACGGACACGACCCCTGGGGCCAACTCAGCCGTCGATGGTCAGTCAGCTCAGAGCACCATCTCTCGCTTTGCCTGCCGTGTCATCTGCGAACGGAACCCCCCCTACACAGCACGCATTTTCGCTGCCGGCTTTGACGCCTCCCGCAACATTTTCCTTGGAGTGAGTGAGTCACTGGAGCGACTGTGTGTGTCTTTGGGCGTTTGGGTGGGGTGATGGGGGGTAGAATGCCATAAATGGCAGGGGTTAGGCGTGGGACAAGAAGGACACTCACTAGAGATGGAGTTTTTGTTTTCCCCAGCATGCCGATGGAGAAGATCACCATCTCTGTTCTGTTTCTGGTTGCTGCACCGCACTAAGAAGTCACTGGTCCCAACGCCAGAGCCATCTGAAGACAGTCTAGTGGCTGCAAAAGGCTGGGCCTTCTCTCTTGTGGCCCCCACCCTTGAGTACCCCCTCCCAAGGAAAGCTCATCTGACCTCCACATTGTGGGGTTTTTTCTTTCTTTCTGAAGATGGGCTGAAAGGTTAACATTTTAAATTCTGTATGATTCTCATGTGATGCTGGCTGCTTCTGTTGAGATTACCGTAACTGGTGTGGTTAGTCCAGTCACCATTCATCAGCAGAGTGCTTAAATAAAGCTACAAATGCAGCAGTGTCACTTTACCAGGTTACTCAGCTTACAAAGCTGCACAGAGCCGCATTGCAAGTTTAGAAGAGAAATACTTCTCTCTTTATTTGAGAAGTACACTTTTGGATAGGAAAGAGCAAAGGCTGATAGATTACTAACTTACCAGCTAATGGATGGAGGCGGAGGGCGAGAGGCCCATCTGCCTCAATGTGTCAAGAGAGGACCATGAGTCCCTCTCTTGGTGCCAGCAGGTAGAGAGGAAGTCTTCATTCAGAGTGAGAGAGAAGCAGGAAAAGGAAATTGGTCCCTGAGATCACAGTCTGCATAACAAAGAGGACAGTGGGAGAAGAGTACAGCAAGAAAGGTCAGTGTGCCTGTCTAGCTCTCTAGTCTCTCTTGCCACTCAGTCTGGAGGTCTGAGACAGGGGACATTGCATCTGGAACTTCCAACAGCTTCCGCATAGAATTTCCCCCCTGCTTTGACTTCTGAAGTGGAGTATCTTTTGGGGTTTTTTCATCTTTGGCTTCTAAAGTGGAGTGTTTTTTTTGTGGGGGGGCCTTCAACACACAGTCATATTGTAATTGTCCTATTTCCAGGTTTTCCCTATCCTCAATACAATCTTTATTTATTTCATTTATACCCCACCTTTCTCCCCAGTGGGAACCCAAAACAGCATACATCACCCTTCTCTCTTCTGTGTTATCCTCACACAACATTCCTGTGAGGTAGGTGAGGCTCAGAGTGCATGATAGGGTTGCCAAACCTCCCGGTTTGCCAGGGGTCCCCCATTTTGGGGGGGTTCTACCCGCCCGCTGGCCAGATGGCCGGCGGGGGAAGCCCCACCCCCAACACCCACCCCCACCCC